TTAAAAAAGCTTATGAGCTGTACATAATCCAGTGGGATAGGCCTTGAGTAGTGTGTTAATCATTAAAAAACTGGCTTGTATACAAGTGAACCTTTTCGGACAACGGATCGAATAAATCTTTTATTCTTTACACTGAAAAATACAATGATACTTCAAACCGAATCAAATTCTGTAATAAGAATGCTTTATGGAAAAAACAGTGGATATCTCTGGCTTTGGCTCTTATCGCATACTAAAATCCAGGAATCTGTTGGGCGTTCTGAATGAAGCATTTTAATAGTCCGAGAATTGGCGATTGAAGACTGTCAAAAATTTCTGCCTAATTTCATGTATTGCGATTCTAGTAGGAACAGGAATAGAAAGCTTGCGCCGGAAGCAAACTCAAAGTGGTTTTAATCGACTAAACGTGGGGGCAATCTCGAACAGTGACCAACAGATTGAGGGTGCATCAGCCTCAGTCCAATGGAGTTGTATTTTTCGGGTGAGCGTTCAGTATTTCCTTTAGTCGCCATTTTTTATTTTCAAAGCATAGGAAAATTTGGGGAGAGTACAAAGTGCAGTTAAGAGGGTGGGCACAAGGTGAAATGTCGAAGTGGGGGAGTGGGAGGGGGCGACTGTTTCCATCGTCCCTTGCCAGACCATGTGGGGAAGAAACGCGTGACACAGGCCCAATAACTCGCGCGTGCACCACATCATGAGTTTTTCTTTTTCTTGTGTGCTCTCCTCCTTCCAATTAAAGGCCTGCACCGCAGGCTAAAGATGCTTTAGATCATTATAGACCATATATTTTCGGCTGCCACCGTGGCGACTGAAGTAAAGCAAATTAGGTGGCAGAAATATCCAATGCTTGTGACCAAAATGTTTTAATGACAGTTGAAATGCGATCGGGTATAAAGCCCGTCTCTCAAAATGCTTTCAAAACAATCTGAATGCTCATAGGTTTTTGATGGATAATTTACTCAGTTCTTGCAACTATAGACAGTCATCAAATGTGTAGAGTCTAACTATGTCCTGAGCTTTCTAATGATTGTAAAATAAATGTAACTGATTAGTCAGTTGCTAATTCATGCTTTCGAAATTTTCTATGATGGTACTTTTATGATGTATTCCAATTTTTGTATTGTAAGTGCTGTTGCAAAGGAGTGGGTACAAATTTATTTATATTCGACGACGGAAAACAACCGCAATTATTGCAATCGGATAGTTAAGCCATGAGTTTTGACCATAAAATCTCAACGAATGTTTTCATTCAAGACGGTTGATACACATCACTATCCAAATAACTCAGTGGCTAATTAAAGTTTTTACACGTCCCAAGCGCAATTCATGTCGTTCATTGGAAGGTTCTTTTGTTTCCTCGTCTGTTGATACTGCAGTTGTCTTTTTAAGGACGTACTTTATACGAACAGTGAAAGAACACAGTTCAAAAGCATTTCATCATACTCATCAGGACAAGAGGTTTATTCAATAGCACCACCTTCAATGAACGACTTTCTATTGCTTATTTTGTTCTTGTTGTGGAAAGTTCAGTGCGCGTAAGATCTGTGATGTGTCGTTGTTTATTACTGTTGAGGTTTGAGGTGATTTTGACAGAAGAATGTGTGGTGGGACTAAAATAGTTCGAAGCTTGCGGCTGGTTTCGTCCCAACGCGAGTAGCAGTTTGATAGAATAATAATTTTACAGAGAGCACCATTTACTTGTGTTTGAAGTTTTGAAAAACTATCTTTCGAAAGAAAATCTGTTTGAAATTTGTTCTTGGTGACCTTAGTATTTACTGTGCATTAAACGCGTTTGCATTTAGTGTTTGAAAATAATCAAAGAACAGGTTTTGTTTAGCAGTTTTGGTTTTTGGTCTTGGAGAAGCACTTGATTCAGTTATTGTACCCGTTGTCGTAGGCTCAATAACCGTGCAAATGCTCGGGTTTGAAATCTGTCCTTGGACGAAACTCTAAAGCAACTTTGACCATACTAAGGTAATGAGTAGACATTTTTTCGAATCTAGACGTGCTCTCGCAAAGCTGGGTTTATTACAGTGAGTAAACTGCTCAACTTCGTTGGCAGCTTCTGGAACCACAAGGTTCTTTTTTGAAAGCCATAACTCGCAAGTTAAAGTTATCCGGTTTGATTGCAGTCGGGTAAAATGTTTTCCGTTTTCTTCTTTTTCGAAGTAGGAGTCTGCGTGCTATAGTATTTGTTTTGTATTAACTATGGCTCTATCATACAGCTGGCCATGAGGCGTATGAATGTAAAGAGAATTCTTAGTCTAACAGTGCATATTGACTTAATCAGAACCGAGAAATCTCATACAGCGATTGCTTAGATTCAGGGAGTCAACTTATCTGAATTAAACTAGACTGAGAATGTATCCAACACGAACGAAGTAGGCAATCTTTGAGGACTGTTTTACTTGCGTTTGCTTGGGCAGTAGATCTTAAAGCCTTCGAATACTGTAGCATCAGTGAAATCTTCATTAATAAATCATGATGCTTCCCACGTTTACGACAACATAGGATTAAGTTTGTTTTTAGCTTACCAAGCGGCAAAAACCTGTACTGGCACAAGTTTATGAGGAGTTTTCTGCAGAGCGTCTGCGATTAAGTGTGCCTGTACGACAACCAGTCTCAAATTGTACGTCGAAAGGAAGATTTAGTTGATATTCCACCGCCATTTTGATATACGTTCAACTGATTTTTATCAGATTCCTCTAGGATTCCATCGACACGAAAACTATTCCGGTGGCTGTGATTCTCAAATATTCCTACATTTTGTCACAATGATAATCAACTTGAGTCTGCACTTCTCTCAATTCATTTTAGGTTTTGTCATCTGCTCAGTTACTGGCTAAAAAAGGCCCCAATAAATGCTGTTATTGGGAGCGCAAATCCTCTCTCGACTTCGCTTCCATGCGGTAGTGGTAAAACAGTCTGCTGGCTTGAAATTTAGGGAAAAACAGATACAGGTGACGATTAAGATCTTAGAAGGAGTTTGTTGAAGCTGAGTGTTGATAGCCCACATAGTTTGCCCTTCCATTCACTCGCAGGATATGCAAGATACTATCTGTGCCTTGCTGCTGCTCTTCGTTGTTGTTAGAGGTATTCAACGTCTGAATCTACATTAAAATCCACTGAACGTTACTCTGCAATGCTTTGTGGTGCCGGCTGCTGTACTGAGCTGCTCAAGGTGACTCATCTTGCTTTAAAATCGCTGATTAATCGTAATGAAAGTAGAGTCTCAGCGGACGTGAACAATACAGCCTTTGATATAATGCAATACTTTTTTGTGCCATTAACGTTTTATTAACTGTCAACCAGTGTTTGAAATCGTAGCGTTTACTATTTTAATTCAACGTTCATGGTCTTAAACAACAAAGCAACAGAAAACGAGGTCAAGGTGGCATGAAGGACAATTTTAACTGATATGTTTACAAATAAGTCACCATTACCAAGTTGGAACAGCATTAGAAGCCAGACCCGATGGAGCTTACCTCTCGATTCACAGAGAGGAGGGATGAAAGACAATTGTCAACGGAAGCTGCTTAGTACAGTATTCTCCTGTGGCATATTGTTATTTGCTAAACTTTTTCTCGTGAGGTAGAGGCCTTTATCTGAAGCAAATGATCTTGGTTGATACTTATGTGACTGCCAAATGATAGACACAGGTATGAGTTAATCTCGTTGGTAATTTTGGGCAATTCTGTTCATTTCCTTTTCAAGACTGAAATTCAAGACACTAGAACAAAGGCCGAATGATACAGTATATAGTCTCAAACAACCGAGTCGATTCATTTAGTATTGCGTCAACACTTGTAGAGTATTGGTGGGTGCTCCACTATTTCTAAATGGACGGGGTATAAGTAAATGAATGTCCTAAGAAAGGTGGGTTCAGTGATTAATGCTGCAGCAAAATTTACAGCTTGTAATAGAAATGCCTTGTGGTTTTGATCGCGGTCCATAGGTTTCTGCAAGATGATAAGCGAAATTCTTAGCCCATCTTGTCAATGACTTCTGTCCGCCTACTGTTGTTTACTAGCAGGATATTCGGTGCTCACATCGCACAATTTTTAGTCGAACGCGATTCTCAAGAAGAATCGCGAGTCTCACGAAAACATCGGGAAGCTGCTAAAAGCCGCTCAGTATTCGAAATAAGAAAGTGCTGCAAACTGAAGAAGGCTAAACATAAATCATGAGAAATCAGAAAAATGAAACTCAAAATTGATGCTCTCTTTTAAGCCGAAGGAAATGTCTAAAATACTATTCCTCTCTGATTATCTGCGCCCAGATGGCAATGTACATTGCTATCCTCACTGGTAATTAGTACCGAGCTTCAATTGACGTTTCCTTCATGCGAACGACTTTGTAAACGCGAGAAAAGCCATGCAAGAGAGAAACCTCTGCTCGCAGAGTTTACGTTTCCAGGCTACCATCCAGGTTCGATCGCTATTATGGATACTTTGTTTCTATCCAGTTGTGAACTTCGCTGTCGTATTTAAATGTGGTTACAGAAACTGCCAGTGACGGTCTGAAAAGAATTCATTGTACGGAGTATCCTAATCTTTTGACTTCAAGCGGCGTCGGCTATAAGACTTAACCGGCTATCAAGTGTAGTTCGAATGCTATCACGAATAATCTGTCTGAGGCTTTCATTATGCGCTGTCGCACATACATGCATAAATGCATCACCTTAATTCAATCTTTGGATTTATAAAGTACTCAGCGTAAAGCTAATATCTCCGGGGAAGGAAAAAAAAGGAATAGAGAGGAATAAATAAAACTCGTCTTTTTGTCGCAAGCTTATGCAGAAGACTAACCTAATTAATCGGGTTGTTTCAGTAAACGGCTTGAGTTGCCTTAGCGTTAAATGAAGCTATCCACGAGGGCTCTAGAACGAAATGGGTGTATAGTGTTCTAGCTGGTGGATTGAGGAAATCAAACCATTATTTGTGGACAAATAGAAAGGAAATCCCTCACGAGCTTGTAATATCTTGTTTATTTTGATTTACCCTTGTACAACATGAACTTCACCACGAGACCTGAAAACTGTAATAATTACTATACCCCCTTTAAGCTTTAAAACGCGGTTATTATTGGCTTTATCATGATGTAAGACAGACGTGTTCACGAATCCTCAAAATCGGTGAACGCAGAAGAAATAGTTATTTCGTTGAATATTTATTTCTGTGCAATATACCACTTTTATGCAGACAAAACGCCATTGTTGCTCCTGTTCGCGGAAAACCCACTACAGTCATATTTTATGTTTAAGAAACTAGCCCTAGACCTCCGTGTCTAGTGTGTACGGCTGCTCATGTAAAGAAAATTAATGATGGTAAAGTCACTGTCCCCTTCACGTAATCAAGACATATCGCTCTAATCTTTGACGAGGCATGCTTTTACATGCACACCACAAATAACAGCAGATTGGAGAGCTTTTAGTAACATCGGCACTCCTCCACAACGATATCCCTAATAGTTTTAATCAGGTAGCCTTTTTTGTCAGTGACTAAAATCAAGGTTACCGGCTTCAGCTTGGAAGGAATGCAGCACGACCCATCTTTGCCTTTGATTCCGTTTTTCTGCGACACGAACGCCTTTAGGATAGAGTGGTTGATGAATCGTGCCTTTCCAGTGTTGCTGGAGCAGTTTCCGGAACACTGGTATGCGTTAAAGGTTCTGGGATAAATGACCTTCTCTGTCTTACCGAATTCGAGTGATTCTATGACCATGTCTTCCTTTCTGCAGGGATTCTCGTTGGCGGCCATCTTTGAGGGTGAATTGTCGCGTCTCATTCTACTACCAGAGGATCCGCTAGTCTTCAGATTGAGAGCCAAATAAGGAAAGGCTTGTCCCTGCTTGGCTTCGCTGTAGACAACCAGCCAAACCTTGGGAATTTCCACATCATCTGTGATTGCGGTTGCAAATCCACTACTTGATTTGACAAAAACCTTGAACCTCAACGGTGCATCTTTACGGGCGATCCACCGTTTAATAATCCTGGTCACAGGAAGAGACAACCAGCCTGACTGATGCGAAGACAGTTGTCGGGAAGACATTTTCACACTTGTTCGTGTCTCGTGGATGGACACCGTCAGCTTCTTGTTGGCTCCTAACTGGTGGGTTGAGAGGAAAATCTCTGCTTTGCGAATAGTTCCTGCTTGTGCTTTGACATGTGGCGGCAGCAAAAACTCGTCTGTTTCTTGATTCCCTACAAAGGAAATTGATGCTGTTTCCATTTCCGTCTTTCATCATTTTCTCAGTAATGCTAGCAATCGCTAAACTTTCAAATTTTCACTGAACTGGGCCACAAACAGTTTTTCCTTCTTTTGATTATGGACGCACCTTTGTAGTTGATGCATGACAAAATGCGCTATCCTAGAGAAAATAGACTTAGGTGTCGACGCTGCTTCAACTCATGAACGTTTCTCTGTATTAACAAGAAAATCATCTATGGCCTATTAATGAAACTGTTAAAATGTTGCTTGTAAATAAGATCGACCATTAGAGATAAACTTCGCGTTATTTGAAGCTCTGGTTTAAGTCCCAGACATTACCAATGTCAGGAGCCCATAACGTCCTGCCAATGTTGACTTAACAATAAACGAAAACTTACTAGTTGCAATTAAATAAGAATAGCTTACATTGTGCTTGGAAACTCTCCAGAAAATACGCCATTCCATGAGCTTCATTTTCTTCTACGAGGTCTTCGTAGAATGTCGAAAGGAATGATGGAGTCTCAGTCTTGTTCCCTTCAAAAGATATGTCTTCCTTTTTGGTTACCTTCCGTTCGTCTCCGATTGCTATTGAGCAAGCTATGAAGGCTTGAGAGGAGAAAAGTAAAAAGGACAGGCAAAGCTTCATCTTTTTATTTCCGATACTGATTAGCTGATCTGTGGGGAATACGTCTTTCAAATACGTTAACACCCGCAAAATGATTCCCAGACAAAAAGGCTCTTCTCTTTTACCACCTACAAATACCTCCATAGATCTTGACCAATCAATTTTTTTTTTCTGGGTTTTTACTTAGTGTACGGATCACGTGAAGTAAGGAGACAAAAAAAACCCTTTTGTCGAACGATATCTGACACTTACACTCTGCCATTCTGGCGGGGTACATAAAAGCTATCGAGTTTTGTCGTTGTTTTTGTTTTGCTTTTTGGGGGACATTGAAATTTATTGATATTTTTTTTTGTCTCTCTCTTCACATTTTGGGATAGCTTATTAGTTTTAAATTATTCAATATCTGGCTAAAACAACAAGACAAAATTCATCTGAATGAGGGGGGTTGAAGGGGGGGTCCGAAAACCGCAATACTGCACTTGGAAGAGCGAGAAAACCGCAATACCGCGTACCCAAATACCGAAACCGCAGTTACAAATGGGATAAAGTTGGCGTTGTCTAGACTACAGATCCGCCTTTTGAGTAGAGATGTTTACATATCATTGTATAAAAAGGTTAATGTCTTTAATCATGTTTGCGCAATACGGTCCGCGACTTTGTAACTAGGAAGAGCTTAGCTGTGACAGGCCCGAACGCAGGTCACGCAGGCTAGGGAAACCTTTAAGGATTTGCAGAGTTGTCACGCTTTAAAAAAAGGGAAGCCGATCACCGCGAGACAACAATTTTCTCACCGATTACCGCGACATAAAATTTAACTGACATAACTGCATACCGCTTGGACTCTGAAAACCGCAATATGCCGTACTTTGAAATAAAAATTACTGCAAAACCGCAGCAATAAGAACGCAAGACCCAATTACCGCAAACCCTTCCGCGCCCCCTCGAAATGACAGGTATGAGCACGGGAAAGGAAACCAATAAATTCCTTTCGCCAAGGACAGACAAGGACTGCCATACTGAATTCCCTAGTCCTTGTTCATCAATGAACTTTTAGTCCTCCTTTCCATTTCTTCGCACTTTATCGCTTTCTCTTCTCCAGGGACCGCGGAGACCATTTTAAGGTGGTAGGGCTAAAAACTCTGGCCAGTATAAAGAAACATTCAGGTCGGTGTTTCGCCATTTATCTTGCATTTGCGCGCCATCTTATTTACCACCTCAACAAATATAACATAAACGTCCACACGTGTTATACTATCCAATATAGCCAATATGTTAAATAAACCTTCTTAGGTTGCTACTTTTTGAAGTTGCCCGAAGTGCCGAAGCTTCTCTTGCGATTCTTATTGCTATAGTTCAAGAAACTTGAACTCTGCCTCATAGTCGTCACCATTAGCAGCTTTAACCAAGAGGGTCTCCATCTGGGCGTAGGAGCTGAAGCTTTCCTGATAGATAGCACTGACGATAAGATCAACAGCCTCATAACAGACCCTTCTAAAGTGATCTTTGGCGGTTTGGCGGTAGCTTGGTGCACCAGCACCAACCTCCAGTCTGGCCGAAGTGCATCGCTTTCAGTGGAAGCGATGGTTTACTAAGCAGACCTTCGCTCTTGCGCGAAATATTAGCATAGAAATGGTCGAAGCTTTGATCACTGGGCATTTTTTTGAGCGTCTCCTTTGTTAGATATGCCAATGTCAGGCCTTGTCCACTGACAGCAGCCACCTTAGTACCCTTAAGATCCTTAGATAGATTATCGGCGTGGGAATGAAGCCGCCCTCCAAGATGCAAACCAAAGAAAAAGTCAAATCGTTCCATTTAGGTCTTACATCCTATTATCCTTGCACGCACATCGGGTTGTAATCGTTCGGACAAGCAAATAACCCACTCTTCCATAAGAACTGCATAGTTCTCAAGGATTCGTCGAAGACAACTGGCTCTAACCGTCCACCTTCCGACCTGGGGGCTGAAGGTTTCTCTTTTTTTCATATCTTTTTTCTAATAATTACCTTTATTCATCATTTTTGACAGTTCATAGTTTTAACTGAAATACTTAATGCGGAAGTATGTGTGACACAGCCCATGCACACAACGCATATTTAAAAATTTCGTCTACGTTAGGCTTGCAGGCTTCATGGAAGCTGGGGAGCTTATTTCTCTTTTTTGGCGCTTAAAACTGAGGTTAACCACGAGGCTTCTTAGAGTCTCAATGCTAAATTGAGAAAATACGGTAGTTATCTTACCCTCTTAACTTCGTTCCTAGTTAATTCACCTTCTTTTCTACCAACATAAAAAAAATCCTGAGGGCAAGGTTGTACCCCTCCCGAGATTTCCTACTTCGTTTCAAGTGGTCTCCCTAAAAAATCAAGGCCCTGAAACTATTATGAGGTTTTATAGTTTTATTACTGACCTTGCTATTCTTCTTCTAGTTTTTTTTTTTTTTTGCTGTTGTTTTTTTTCATTCTCCGAAAACCAGTAACCTAATGCGAAGACTATTTTGTTTTTGTTGTTTTAATTGACTGTCATTGCTTGGGCAAAATAAAGAAAAGGAGTGCCAATCAACAAAAGGTATTCTTAAAAGAGAGAGTCCTAACAGAGATGACTGACCCTAGATATCGCACAAGCATGATTGTTAATTACCTTGGCGGGATGTCAAAATGGGAGCTAAACCTCTCTCAAAATAGGAATGTTTATTGGCTATTTTCCCTACTCGGTTGTTTACAGGAGCAAAAGACACGCAAAGGATAGCCCTAGAGCAGACACTCGAAAATTTGCCGTAGCGGTTTCTAGAGGTTTACTCTTCGCCGTTCAATAACTTGCCTGGAAGCTTTGAGCAGGAATTTCAGCCGTCTCGGAGAGTCGCACAATTCCAGCCAAAGAAAGCCTCTCGGGACTGTACGACTCGAGGAGACGGCTTCAATTCGTCACCAAAAACCAGGCTATTTAGGACGTCATCAATGCAAAACTAGATTCAAAGCCCGGGTTAGCCGTGACCGTGGATTACGGTTAAACTACAACCGGAGCACATACATATGTCTGGGCATGCAACCAACCTATCATTTGGGCTAATCGACCCAGAGTAATGAAAATAGTAAGAAATGACAATTTCAATGAATAAAACATTCTTTTAAAAGTTTTCAAGACATGGTTTTATTGATATTGATTTGAATTTTCAAAGCTTGCATTGGAGTGCTGATGGAGGTTTCGGGCTCCAAAGCTTACAATATTTCATTAAGTATTTAGGAAAAATAGAATATAACAATATATTCTCAAAGTAAGATAAATTAAAATCTTTTACTACTGCTTTTAAGTTGGATTTTCCTCTCAGATAATTCAATAATCTATAATAATAATAATAATAATCGTAATCATAATCATTATTATTATTATTACTTAATTAATTATTAAGATTACCATTTCTGTTATTTTCAACTATTAAAACAGTCTTCTTTATTTTCCGGTAGTACTTGGCAGCAGTATTTCAGCTGACAAACATGTGCTCCTCGAATCCCAAAGAAAAAAAGTGGCGTGATTTCAGTTATTGTTTAAACCGGACTTTTTTGCTGACATCTTATCTAGCAAGTGTTAAGTACGTTCAACGACTCGTTTAAGTTTTAACTCCTTCACAGAGGACGTGGTGCCACATCAGGAAATGTCGAAATTCTAAACTATCGATTTACTATAAACTGCAAGTTTGAGATAACAAGTTGTTGAAAATGACCGAAGTCTTTATTTGCTTCAAAGTATAACATGCTTATAGTTTTAGGGTAACTTTTCTTCGAAGGAAAACGTAAAGAAACTTTTTTTCCAGGGCTAGTTGTAGTCATTCTTCAAATGAGAATGCAAACAAACTTCCTATTTAGTACCTTAATTCAATTCACCCACACAGCAGACCCGTACTTGGACTAGATTGTTTGTTAAAAAGACCTCCTAGAAGTGCTTTTTGTGTGATTAGTATCGTCACAACAGAAATGTCCAAAACAAAAATATGAACTGTCAAATAATTTACGTAAACGGTGAGGCTAAATGTTTCATAAATAACTACTATAAGTAGAAATCAAACTATTGTATTTGATTTCACGCTCGACTTTAATTGGAACACTGAAAACAACGCAAACACACAAACATAAAGATGCGTTTTCTCTGAAGTAATTTTTTAGAGCCATCGTGAAAGTATTTTATTGTTTGGGGGCAGTCATCAGTCATTAATATTTCCTGCATACAGTGAAACCTGTCTTAAGCGGACACCCTCGGGGAATGGTGTAATGTCCGCTTAATAAAGGGTGTCCGCCTGATACAGGCTTTGATAGATAACGTCATTTGAGGTGTCAGTGGAAACGTTTAGAATACTTCCAGAGACTATGATAGACTGTTCACAGTCCCCTATTTTTTCGTGAGATCGTTTAGATATACCGCGTCTTATCGTCACGGCTATCTTGATTTTCAAATGTATCGAGGGGGCGGGCGTCGGGGATTTTAGCTCTAGGGAGGGGCTCGTCCCAAACCGCCCCCGCCTGCTAATTAGTTTTGACACTCATGCAAGGTGGCAGCCCGTAACGCTAAGCGCTCGATCTCGATGATCTTACGGAAAAATAGAGGACTGTGAACAGTCTAATCTTATCAAGATTATCCTCTTAAATTAAGGACAAAAGGGCAAAACAAATGGACAAAAGAATTTTTTTCTATTGTTTCTGGCTTGATTAACGTTTATCGCATTTAAACATATATTGGCATCCTTTAGTCTCGAAAGACTATGGTGTTGCGCTCTGATCAGTGCCTTCTGTGGCTGAAAAGACCAATTCGGGAATAACAGTCCCTTCCACGCAGTGAGCAGATGTGGTCAGTTGCTGGTCTATCTCACTGGTTTCGGGCCTTCCTCGTTTGTCTCTTTGTCTCAGCCTGTTCGGCAAGTGTATTTTCAAACTCGGAAAGACCTTGCTACACTGCCTGCCTCCAAGTAGAACGCTCTGAAGCCAAGGTTTCCCATCCGTTGATATCAATGACCAAGGCCTTCAGGTCTCTTTTGCAGACATCTTCATGCGGCCATTCAACAACCGTTTTGCTATTTCCAACAGTACAAATTCTTTAGCCT